GCCTTTTGCATGATTTATTCTGCATATAAGTTAAATAAGCAGGGGGACAATATACAGTTTTGTTGTACTCCTTTCCCAATTTTGAACCAATCAGTTGTTCCATATCCAGTTCTAATTGGTGTTTCCTGTCCCACATATAGATTTCTCAGGAGATAGATAAGGTGGTCAGGCACTCCCATTTCTTTAAGGACTTGCCATAGTTTGCTGTGGTCCACACAGTCAAAGGCTTTTATCAAACTGCTGTAATGGTGTGATGCAGGTACACTCTTATGCCAGCAATCATATCAATATTCACTTAGCCACAACGTCTGCTGAACTTACTGATTAAACTTCTAGGGAGGTATATCTAAGTGGGATAGAATGCCTGGCTGTGGGACAAGAGATTTGGAATTTGAATCCTCACTGTACCTTAGACAGGGGGGCAGCCAAAATCACCCAATGTGTGTGGATTATGGACAGAGTTATGTGCCCTGCCACCTGTGCAGCCTTAGGCAAGCTGCATGCTCTAAGGGTGCCACCAGTGACTGTTAAACCATTTCTGGATATTTTATACCTGGAAACCCCTATAAGGGTTGCCATAAGTCAGAAACAAGTTCATGGCACATAATTATTATTATTATTATTATCCATGTTACTCATGAATAATACCACAAGATTCTTTATTGGTCTTGCTTCAACACAGTATCAAATTTAATTTGGCATGCAGTCCAGGGCTCCTTATGCCAAAGAAAACCTGCTAGTCTGTAAGAGGCCACACAACTCTTTCTGGGTGTACTATTTCTGATTACACATGGTTAGGCTTGGGCTGCAGCATTGCAAAGTATGGGAGAGTTGTAAAAAGCCTCTTTAGATGTGTCAATGGGCTCAACCTGTCATTCTAGTGTTGTCTTGTTATTCTTTGGTTGCACATTTGAGTAGATATTCTGGTATTTACATGTACACATAGGGAGATTATTTGCTGTTGGATGTACTGGGGTCCACCAAATCATCCTGGTAGTGCTCATCCACACACATCTAGCATAGTTCCCTGACATCTCATTTACAAATGAGATTGCCCTATCCTTCCACTTATCTCCTCTGCCTACTTTGTTGTCTCCTCCATGTGACAAGGGAATCAACTGCCTCAGAGAATGATGGACTCTTCTTCACTTGACTTGAGATTTTAAAGCAGAGGTTGGATGGTCTCTTCTCAGCTGTGGATTTCTTGCACTGGTATAGGACTAGACTTGGTGACCCTTTGGTCCTTTCCACCTCTAGGTTTCCTTCTTTCCTTGTTCTGTCCTTCCACAGGGGTTGGGAGCTGAGTGGTGACTGAAAATCAGAAAAATGCCCCTAACAAAATGTTATCAAATGACACCTACTGTGAATGGGTTCATCTTCTGCTATGGGCGGCCCCAAAGTTTGCGCGGGAATGAGAGTCGGAGGCTGATTTGCAACTTCAACATTGTCCATTTTATTTTTTAACATATCTAATCCAACAGTCTCAAATGGGTCTAACAGGCTTAACTCAGGTAGAACTTTATAACTTCGGACCTTTACATCAGGTGTCACCAAGTTACTCCTCACGTTGGGGCTGGTCCAAATCGCTCCCGATCGGTCATGGGCCTCAAAGGAGTGCTCCGCACCGCGCAAATGGTCCCACAGAAGGGTGCCTCGCCCAATCCCCCATGAACAGGTGGGGATACAGATAATCAACAAAGTGACAATGATTCCTTTGTAAAGGAAAAGGACTATGGTTGCTTCCACAGGCACACTGTGGGAATCAATGAAGGATTTAATATTTGGTAATCGCTTTGGAAACCTTGATGACCATTCACTCCTTTTAACAGGATCCCTAGCATCCTTATATACCTTATCTCCTTGGTGCTCCAGTATCCTGAAAACCCAGCACCCACCTTAAGCGTATAATGGGACCCTTCGCACGTGGGCTACTAAAGGCGGTCTTAAACCTTAAATCTGCCAACATTTTAACATTTTAAAGAAAAAAACACCGATGATTTTGAGAAAAACTCCATTAAATCCCTACGCCTTCTCTCTCAACGCGGAGGTGGAAGCCGAACTGGGCAGCGTTTCCTCCTCAGCTCCCCTCTCAGCCCACCTTTCGTCTTGCTCGGCTCCCTTCACCCGCGGCTGGACCGAAAAAATCCCACAAAAACTCGGGGCGAGCTCTCGCCACCTAAGTCGCCAGAGAAAAGAAAAGGGCGGAGCAGGAGGCGGAGGAAGCCGAGTGAGGGAAGATGGCGGGGCAGGCGCCGGTGGGATGGAGCTGAGAGAGCCGACGAGGCTGCGAGGCTGAGTAGAGGAGGGGAGGCGAGGCCGCTCTGGGACGCAGGGAGGAAGGAAGGGCGGGAATTTGACGGCGGCGGCGACGACAGCGGCCTGCGAAGCGGCTCTTTCAAGGGCGGAGCAGGAGGCGGAGGAAGCCGAGTGAGGGAAGATGGCGGGGCAGGCGCCGGTGGGATGGAGCTGAGAGAGCCGACGAGGCTGCGAGGCTGAGTAGAGGAGGGGAGGCGAGGCCGCTCTGGGACGCAGGGAGGAAGGAAGGGCGGGAATTTGACGGCGGCGGCGACGACAGCGGCCTGCGAAGCGGCTCTTTCTCTTCCTCGGCCGGGCGGAGGGCTGGGTCTGGGGGTCC